TTCACATGTACTAAGTATCGTAAACGAAAAAGTGAGGTCGGCAACTATCATAATTGCCTGACTAATCAAAATCGACCAATTTCAACTCGTCGTTTGAGGCACATTTGAGTAGTAACTTGAGTAGTAACCCCGGAGGGTCTCAGCCACCTCCCTGGAAAAAGCCATTTTCGGTATATCTTTTGAAGTGGTCTCTCCAGTTGAGAATGACACAGAGCTTTTACGGCCCGGGCGAAATCACCTGTTTCGCAGGAGACCCTTCAGTCGCTGCTGATGTTGACAGATATGTCCTGGTTGTGCGGCCAGTGGTGCTGCCACATCAACCTACCCCAGTTCCTTACTTTTCCGAAGAAAACGACGATATTTCGGAGCTTTTGAAGTGATGCGAACTTTTTCGCTCATTTTTCTTCCATTACCACGAGGCAAAATACACTCATTTGCGAACAAATTTGGTTTGGCGAGAGACTCACCTGAAACCCAGCTGAACCTCTCGTTTGTGGTGCTTCCAGTCGAAAAAATTTCAGCGACCTTATGAGTAGTGCATTAAGTCGTACGGAATGCTCGTCAACACTTGCAAATTCTCCAAAGAAATGAAGCATTCTCAAACATTTATGTTTCCCAATTGTCGTCAGACGCCACTAGTGTCTTGTGTGCAGACAAAATTTAGAACTCGCCTCCGGCCATAAAAGTTGCCGAAGGCAACTGTAGAACGTTCGCCCGGTTGAAAAAACATCATTTGAACATCAGGATGAGGGTTGATTGTCCTTGTGTTCGCCACGAAAATACAGACATTCTCGCCTATGTGTGCTTGTTGTCTAAAGGAAGAAAATTGAAATGCTTCCGACCTATTTTAACTCAAATGAAACAAAATATCAGACGATCTAGAACACGAAACGGATTGCATTTACTAGCCGGGCTACATTCTGTCTGTACTACCAGTGAAAGGAAGAAGGCCTTCTCTGCGGAGAAATGCCAACTGAACAGTTACAGACTATTGAACGTGGAAGCAAAACTTTCATATGCATCTTGTTTACAAAAACTGAATATCCATCCTCTATTTGGACGCGTCTTCCTCAGCTTTTCTGGATATTCATTGACTGTTACTCAGTTGCAAGCAAGTGCTACAAAGCGACTCCACAAATTCCGGAATAGATTCTACTTTTCAAGAGACGTGAAGCGGATTTACGAGGAAGCATATTACTCGCATGCCTCCCCCATCAGTAGTATCACCGTTACACCAGAGTTTGTCTGGAATTCTGCATGATCTGAAGAAAAGCTAGCGTGTATCGATCATTATCGCAACGTATTTATCAGCACGTCATTTCTATCCTCGTGACCCACACAGACAGATTTGACTAACTCTTCACTTCTTTCTTCCAGTCCGCAGTGTTTGACAGCCGCAAATTACGACCCAAACCTAGTGACATTCTGCTCCATGCTCCCACTAGAAGCCTTTGTTGGTCTGTCAGACCCTCTGGGACGAGCAACCCCCATGCCGCTGTTCACCCATTCTGACCCATACATCCAGCAGTTGGGTCAGGCGGTGGCCAATCGACCAGATATGTTACCATCGTCCATGACTTTCGCCAACGGTCTAGGAGATCACACAACAACACCGACAACAACAGCAACGTGCACAGCCTCTACGTTGGCTTCCTTCAACCAAACGCTGACAACCCTGCCACCGTCTTCTGTCCTGGGCACTCAGACAGCTCTGGTCAAGGTGGATGGCTTGCAGCCGAACACAGATGAGTCGGTCCTGTGGCGATTATTCTCCACGTTTACCGGCGTTCTATCAATACAAATCGACCGGGCAGGTGTCTACTCGGCCGATACGTCGTCGCTGATGGATCAGGAGTCGTCACGAACAGCCTACGTGCTAATGGCCCAGGCAGACCAGGCCAGATTAGCGGCACAGTACCTGAATGGGTGAGTACATTAGCCGACAGTCTATTGAAGGCAATCTGTTTTGGCACCCTAAGAAGGACCGAACAAGATCGCGCGCATTACTGTGCAGTCCCGTTAGCCAACTAAAATGAACAGTGTATGGGAACTCGAGGAGACTTCTGATTGGCTCCCGATGATACACAATTTTAGTGAAATCTATTGGAACAGTTAAACCTACCGTTTAAGAAAATACCGCGGTGATTAACCGTTTGGATTGCTGCTCGACTTACTACTACTCGCACACGTTCCTAACAGTAAGTGGGATCGGAATTCCTCTTGAACTATTTCGGCATATCCAGTGAACACTGCTCACTGGTGCTAGTATTATTACGAATGGTGGAAGCTGTACATCCCATACTTGCCTACCAGATTTCCCGAAATGAAAATTTGATGCTGCTTTTGATTAGTGCTAGACTACTTGAAAACAACAACAGTAGTCATACAAAAAATTGTCACAGTGAATTGGCCAAATGTCCTTCTACTTAAATAGGCAAAGAGTAGTCTCATTCGCTGGATCCGATGACGTCCTCATTCAAGTTTCGTTCCACATTAAAATGTGGAGCTGTAACACTGAGACAGTAGGACCTACAAATGTACGCGTGACAGCAATATATTTAAGGTGGGGTGTGGTCGAAACGGAGCTGGAGGTATCAAAGACATACAGACCTCTGATATCATCAACAGCCGGCTTATTTTGCGTCGAGTAGAGAGGTCTGACTGTATACCATGTATCCCTCCGAATGCCTTCCTGTAGAGTATTATCACGTGACTGGTGTACGCTGATCGGGACACCCAGGACCCTAAAGCTGAGGATCAGGATCGCGTTGGTATCACTTTAAAATTCAGAGCCAAACTCGACTTGAGTGTTCCAAGGAGTTTACCAAGGATTTGCCAATATTCCAACACATTACCAATTTTACAATCAGTTCAACGCTGGACTAAGATAGCTAGCTCACTCTGCCGGGCTGTGTCTTGGTTTTAAACTTTCCACTCAATGGAACTTCCACTACAAGCATGGCAAGGCGAGAGTTCCTCTTTTATTATGGGGGTGGGTAGGAGGGGCGGCGGGATGAGAACATAATCTTAGAAAGAATATACATACGGTTCCAGTCCTGGCTTTAGTTTTAGTGGAATCTCTCAGAGGTCTCACTTGAAACTCGCCAAGTTTGGAGGGATAGTGAACAATTCATTTGATATTGAATTAAATTGCGATTCTCATGAGAATATTTAGCCCGTAAGCAGGTGGTATTAGGCAAAAATTCACTGAGATGCAGTCACAATAGGAGAACAAATGCACCAGTTTAACCTAGCATATCGTGGCCGGACGAGATAGCTCAGTGTTTAGAGCGCGAATTTACTGATCGGAAGGTTCCTGATTCGAACCCGACCTCTGCATTACGAGTTGCTTCGCCTAGGCTTGGGCAGCTTGGCAGTATGGAAGCTCTTGTGCTTTCTTTGTGTGGTATGGCAGTTAGGCACAGAAACGGTGCTACAGCTGAACGATATATATATATATATATAAAGCCTTTCGTAGCAAAGATAATAACTAGAAGGTGTAGTTGGTACAGGTGAGATGAAACTACTTCAGCAAATTCAGAAGAATAGCTTAATGCAAACTCTACATTGCCAGAAGTAATCAGTAGTGGAGATTTAGTCCTGTAAGCGAAGCCCGTCCATGGTGAAACGTCGAGAAACTCTGTTTCATCCAAATGAAGATTCATCATCAGTGTGCTCTCAGTCAGCTCTATGGAGTAGCAATATGGTCTTGGATTCGGAACGCTGCACCGGGAATCCATACAACTGATGATTGCCAATAAGTATAAAAGAGTGCTCCTCGGCTTGTCAGCATGAATTTACTCCATTCACAGGACGAAATTTCCGTTAAAAACGTCACTTATATCAATTCAGCCACACCTACGTGACTGTGAATGTATTAACCTCGAATTTGATACATTTTAGCATAAGGGGAACGTCGCGATAACAAGACGAACCCAGAACATGAGGTCTGGTTTCGAGCACTACTCAGGCACTTCAACCAGGGGAGATAGCACGCTAGACACCATGACCTCTATCGAAGACATTTTATAAATCAGTCACGGATTGCGATCGATAAAATCAAAACAGGTACTCCCATATTTCACCCATTAGGTATACCCTAAAATATAGACAACCATACTGATCGTTGCCTGTGTACGATTTGAACGGAATGACAACTGCTCACTGCGACAGTCAGAGATCCAGTCAGAGACCAGATCGATCTTTTCTCAAATTTTCGCTTACGCCAATTTTCACAGCAAACCACGTGACCACATGACCGTTGTCTCAATCCATGATTCTGTTGACCTTCATTTCAGCTGCACCCTACAAAACCGTACCATTCAAGTAACCTGGGCTCCTCTGAATGCACCAACATTTCCAGTTGGCACTACAGTTTTGCACAGAAAGAACCTGTTGCAAACCAGCCCCGCACTTGCCCTGGATCAGGTTGGACTTGCAGAAAAGCTAAGGCCATAAACAAGGCCATAACAAACGATCTGCAGAGATAGAGCAATTGGTTCACATGACCGACCCGTTCACAACCAAACACTCGTTTGCTCGACTAATTCTTTAAAAAAACCAAGCCATGTGATCACACCTGACAGGAAAGGATATGCAATGGACCGTTTGTATTCTTATACCCTTCTCAACTCCTCCCTATAACCATTTTTTTGTCTTCAATCCTTTTATTGTGTACATAGCAATCTTTTTGTCCAACCAATCAGGGGATTAAATCTTGGGACCGCCAGTTCCAAACAGAGCTCACGCTGTTTTGTTCCCTTGTCTACCGTTTTAGGACGACAGATGGCTGGGACAGTGAACGACCAAACTTGTTTTGATGGAGCCACACAGTATGATCCTACACAATGAAGTGAAAAAGGAAGTCGTAGCGAGATACACTAATTTGCATACCGATTTGGTACGCAAACCTAGCTGCTCGACTGATGTTTTAAGCCCAGGCCGACTCATGTTTCAATTGGTACGATATTCGAAATATCACAAATCTTTTCATAGAAGTAATACACTACTCATAAGGTTGCTGAAAGCTCGTCGACCACGCACGACCGGTTTTGCCCTTCTTGAGGCTTATCAGGTAGGAGCAGTCCTCGAGCGTGTTTTTACTCATAACTTAGAGATTGACCACTGAAGTTTTCAGTCCGATAACCTGTTTGGCGATTGGCACTTTCTTAAACTCTGCATTCAAGGTCTTCTGACAGGCTGATATACTCAATCCAAGAATCCCGCACATTCAAGAATTCGTTCAATGGATCGTTTAGGTTTTAGCAAGATCACAGCAGGCCATCCTGACGGTGATGTCCCTCCAAACAAAGGCTCTGGAATTTCTCGTGACCCTTGTGATCTTCTTTGGTTGGTTTTTTGGTCGCCACCTCTCATTCTTTAGCATTTTGATAGAAAAACAGGTACAGGTATGCGCAGTCGGTGATCTATCCAACCTGCTTCGGAGTGCCGACAGTCTCTGATTCACAACCATACACCAGGTTATCCCACACTGCTCCCCGAAATGATCCGTGTCGGTCCACACACCTCAAACAGTAACTGCCAGTGTACTAGGGACCACAAAAGGCACACAAGCCATTCACCTCGTCAACTCCATCGTGCATTGCTCAAGCTGCGGTGAAAATGTTTGAGGAAATAAGTAAGAACTCATAGAAGGTGGTTATATAGGCTTATTAGGAGAATCAGCTCCGGACGTAATTTGACTACACAACTGCCAATGGAATAACCGTTTTCGTTGGGACAGATTTAATTGGTTGTTCTCCGTGTTGAACTATTCGTGCCCCGGGTGAGTTGATTGGTTGTTGATCAGGCGGCTATTGATCTGTTCGCCGAGCTTGGCTATTGGCTTGACGAAACGTTTCATCATCATACGAGGAGACATCGTCAGTGCGCAGTTGGGTGTGCATGACACGCCTGTGTGCTCTCCATCATGTTAGAAAAAGATTCCAAGTACATCCCGAGGCTCATGCTGAAATACATACTGGAATTGTCGAAGCTTCTTGGAATATTGGTCAGTTCAGTCAAAAACACTGTAACGTGTTTTTCAGTTAAACCGTTCTGTAAGCATTTCGACATTTCAGTTCCGGATACTCCCAAGGATTGTTTGACTAAAAATGCGGAACAGTGTTGTGCAGACTATAAAGGGGTCAATTCATTTGACGTGTTTCAAAGCTTCGAACTTTCAAACATTAGAATTCAACAAAATGTAGTAAGTAAGGTCAGTCTATTCCAGAAAAGCCGGGAAGGACAGCTGGACATCCGGTAATCATTAGAAGTACGCACCTCACCATACTCTGGCGGGCCCCGAAACCACGACCTCAGGGCCACTACGTTGAACATGAGCATCTGATCAGTACTTGAAGGGGATACAACGCCATTCCGCCTTCATTTACTGGATCCACATCCCGTCTAAATGCGGGCTAATCGCACTGTTGATCATCCACACGTGACCAAACGGTTTAACGGGTCAAACTACTGACCGGGATTTCGTGGGTCCCAGAATCCCCAGAATTTCGTCATACATATACCACTAATGAACATCAATGAGAATGAAGCAGATTCCCGGCTTTTTGTTATAAGTTGGCTTCAATTACAAGACAAAATTTCAGTTGAGGTTGAAATTCCGGCGGTGACATCACCTCGCACTTTTGAACTGAATGTCCCTGAAGCCAAGGTCAAGATTGAATTCTCTCAGGCAGTTAATTTGCATTCTACTTTGAATTTCACGTGAGATTAACTTGGATGTCAATCATATCTCTCGTTTACAATGATCTTCATAAACGAGAGATTCGGCTGGGATTCAAGTGAGTTCCTTGTCAAAAACCAAATTAGTTGGCAGATCAGTGCCGAATTCCGTGCAATTTGGATCCAAGTAAAACACGGAGTTGAGGGAAACTCGAAAACTGCGCCTATTTGATGAGCCCCAAAA